TTATATAATAATAATAATAATAATTAATTATTATATTTATTAATAATACTTGGCAAATATTTTCTAAGTTTAATCTTGTAAAAATTCTTTTATTAAAAGTTAAAAGCATTTGTTAATTTATCTATATATAAGATCTATTATTTAAATTATTTTCTTGAACTTCCTCTTTCCCCCTTTATAACTAATAGTAGCTAGTCTTAAATTAGTTTACAAATAGAAAATTAAGAGGTGATTTGCTACACTTAGATGGTTATACAAGATATAATAGATAGTTTAATAGGCAATCCATTTGAGACCTGGACAAAAATTTTTTTTTATATATAAATTTTACTATAAGTGCGAAAGTGCAGTGCCCTATCTAAAACTTTTTTTTTACTAAGTAAATCACTCTTAGGCTTCTAACAGAAGTTGTAAAGCTTATCAAGATGTATTTAATAATGAAAGAACATTAAAATTGGCTTGGTGTTCTTGAGAAATCTTTAGAACTACTAGGCCAATTTTAATGTTCTTTTATTATTAAATGCATCTTGATGAACTTTACAACTTCTGTTAGAAGCCCAAAAGTGATTTACTTAGTAAAAAAAAAAGTTTTAGATAGGAGCGCTGCACTTTCGCACTTATAGTAAAATTTATATATAAAAAAAAATTTTTTGTCCAGGTTTCAGGTAGATTGTCTATTAAATTAATATTATTTTGATACAAATCTATAACTAATCTTATCATGTATATAGCAAATTCAAAAAAAAAAAAAAAATCTTCAAATATACAGAATTGAAAATTTATATAAAATTCTATTGCTAAACAAGATATATTAAAATTCATAATTTAAAATGATAATTTATACAAAAGATAATATTAAATATTGGTCTAAAGAATAAAAAAAGATATAATTGCCAAAATAAATGAAAATTTAAAAGACATAATTATTTTTTTATTATTATTATTACTATAATCACTCTCTAGCTGACTCATAGATTATCAATTAATTGAATTTTAATAAAAATAGAAGCATGGCCTCATCTTTGAAGATTAAAAAAAAATATATATATAAAATATTCTAATTTTTTGTAAAATGTTGTATCTAGACTAGCAGAGTTCTGTTAAAATAAAAAATCTCACAAATATATTTAATTTTAAAAGATATAGATTAGCACTACAACTTAAACTAGTGATGTCATATAGATGCAAATGTGAATATAGACCAAACTAAACTAGATCGAACTGAACATTTTGTGTCTATGACCAATAATAACAAGATCTACAGATATTGTTTCCAATTGACCAATCAAATGCTTGAACATTGGATAATATTTGCTAAACATTGTCTAATGTTTGCTAAAATTTTATAAGCATAAAATAGATTGTCTAATTAAACACTTGGACATTAGATATTGTCTTTAATAATCTTATTAGCTAAAAATAAAAACATTCTAGATACTGTAACTGGTAAATAATCACTGATAAATACATATATAAGTATATATATACTTAACATACTTTAACAATCTATATATATATGTATATATATATACTGTACCATTCCGAAATTAAGCATCCTCCGAAAATAAGCACCCTGGCCCGCATTATGCAAATTTTGGTCCGCATTATGCCAATTTTGGCCAGTACTAAATGCAAAAAAGAGGTGCTTAATTTCAGAATGATATGGTATATATACTTTATCAGGCTTATCCTATTTGCAAAGTAATATAGAGCTTATTACTATTGCATTTAAGATTTTTATTTAATTTTAAGAGTAGAGTATACATAGGTTATTTATTATATAATATATATAGCAATTTTTTTTTATATAACAGATTACATAGTAATCACAAGTCTAATTGAGTAATTATCTGTTTTAGAAATATTTTTACTAGGTTTTTTATATAATCTCAGGAAATATAACAAATTTTTGAAAACTTTATAATATATATATGTTTATTTTTTAAAAATAATATAGCCTCAAAAGTTTTACTACTATAAATAGAAAGTTTGATTTGTATATTACAAAAATTTTAGTAAAAAGTCATAAATAACGCATTAGAAACATTAAAAATTTTACCAGTAATAATATTGGGAGCATCACTAGGTTTTTCAGTGGGAACATTACCAGTAAGGATTCTACCAGGATGTGTATTGGCACCTTTATTATGACAAGTATTGGGTGCATGACCAGTTCTTGTGGCGGAGGCACAACCAGAGCTTGTGGTAGGAGCACGACCAGTACTTGTGACGGAGATACAACTAGAACTTGTAGCAGTGGCATAAGCAGAACTTGTAGCAGGAGAACAAGCAGGACTTGTAGCAGGA